ACTAAGTTTATCAAATATTAGTGATATAAAATACAAGTATTTACGGGTCGGATAGCAAATCGAGTAAGAAGACGGGTAACGAGACGGGTAATGAAAAAAAAAACCCTTTATCCGACCTTTACCCGCAGATATCAAAATTATAGTACTCTTTACCCGATTCGAATGTTACGGGTATCCTAATTTTTTAGACAAATACGAGTCGGATAACGGGTAAATGACGAGTAAATATCTGTGCCCAGTCCATACTGATATCATATCAGGTGTGACTTATAAACAAGTTACTGGGCCTTAAACGAAATAAGCCCAAGAAAGACCTGGACACTACTCCAAGCCCACTATTGAAAGCTGATAAACCGAAAAGCGAAACTAAACCAACTGAACCAAAGAGTTATGATTTAAATTAATCTTCTTTTTTTTTGGACACGATGATTTAAAATTGATTTATTCTTCTTCTTTTTCTCCTGAAAATATTGAAACTCAATGCGAAACACCAAAAAGGTAATCGAAACACCAAAAATCAAATCCATTCCTAATGATGATACCAAACCAACAAAAAAAACCTTTAACAAAAAGAAAAATACGAAAACGATAATCATATGCGCGTAATTATACGCCACATTTTGACCGATCAATTTTTCAAAATCAAACGGACGGTCACGATTATCCGATCAAGCATCGTCTTCGTCTCAGCAAGAGAAAAAAACAAAAAAGTCCTCAACGCCGGCTAAATCCAAATCCAACCACTCCATCTCGTGCTCACCACGCTCCATTCCTCTAAATCGATTGTGCTATTTCCCCTTTTGACTTTTCACTTCAGTTTTTCAACTCTCAGATCTCGACGATGGCAGCGAAAATCTCTCAGCTTGCTTGTTTCTCCTCCGCCAATCGCCAATTTCACTTCCAGAACCGATCGTTTCCATGCCTTAGGTTTCGTCCCGAGGTAAATTTCTACGAGTATCGTCTGAAAAAGACATAGATTTCTTCATTTCGATGATGCCCAATTCAGTAATTGCTATGCTTTCCTGATTACTGCCAAAAAGTTATGACCTTGATTGATTTTTGAATTGGTGTAGACATTATTAGCTTTATGTTTCCTAGAATTGGTTCTTCTTGGGACTTGAATAGATTTGGTAGGGAATGTTGTATTTAAAACCATCGCCTTTTTTGTTCTGCTTACATTTATCTGACAAAGTATTGAATGGCATGAAACAATCAACTCCAGTTCTTTGGTTGTCTCTATGTGCTTAGGGTTAGATTTGTTGGGACTGATAGTGTTAGTAGAGGCTGATTCGCTTAAAATGGTGCAGTCTTTTGTAGTTAGAAGCGTTGATGGGAAAAGCGCAGAAACACCAGCTTCTCTAAGCTATACAGCTGAGGTTTCCAAACCTTTTGTTGAGAAAGCGTCGAAACCGTATTCCACTGTGGATGAAACTGCTACAGATAAAGAAATTATCACAGAACCAGTAGAGGAAAATGTTCCCACACAACCAATAAGAGCAGCAAAGATCCATGACTTCTGTTTTGGCATTCCCTATGGTAAGTTGGTAACTTTGTCACTCTCAAAAATTATATCTGCCTGTTAAAGTTTTCTTTTCGAACTATTCAAGCTCTTCGTTTCCTATTTTCATATCATATGAGAGATTATTTATTGTCTGGGTAAAGCGTGGGCGTCGATTCTGCTTCATACATGGCACTTTTGTCAGGTGGTCTCGTTTTGAGTGCTGGGCTTCTTGGATTTGCGTTTTCACGAAATCTTACAAGTTTAAGTACTGGTGCTCTTTACGGTAGTGGCCTTCTAGTCCTTAGTACATTGAGCTTAAAGATTTGGCGGCAGGGAAAATCTAGTTTTCCTTATATACTTGGACAAGCAGGTAATCTTCTTCTACGGTATACAGGAACAGTTCACAAATGTTTTGTAGTCACTACTTCCTATCTGTAATTCATTTAATCAAACTGGTATCTTCTTATACATGATATATGAAAATCCACATAAGTTTACTGTTTGATACTTAGAAGTGGCCATCTCTGAACGAAGATCATTATGTGCACATCTATAAACATAGTCCTTTTATCTATGAAAGTGTATATGCTTACTCTCTCATCGAACCCTGAAAATGCAGTGCTTTCAGCTGTCGTCTTCTGGAAGAACTTCACAGCTTATTCTATGGTTGGTATTCATCATCTTTGTGATCATGCTGATTGTTTATTTTGGCTTGCTTGACTTCAACTGCTTAATGTTCTACTTATGCAGACTAAGAAGCTGTTTCCTTCCGGGCTTTTTGCCGTCGTCAGGTAAGAAATCTTTTTGTGATCTATAACAGAGTCTGATGTATCGATCTTTAGTGGCTTCAGGTAACCTTGCATTTGTGTCTTTTTTCACTGCAGTGCTGCCATGTTGTGTTTCTATTCCTATGTGGTGCTCTCTGGAGGAAACCCACCTCCAAAGAAATTGAAACCATCTGCTAGTTCTTCATACTGAAAGAGCTTCACATAGGTTAGATTGAAAAGAAAGGAGATCTTCTCTCTTTTGATGACTCTGCTGTGTTGGATTCTTGGTGTAATTTTATACTTTCTTACGATGCAATAACTATACTTGTTTGCGGTGTCATTATCCAAAGTTTTGTTTTTCTTACGGGTAACATGCTATGATTGTCTTCGCTCTTAATCAAATTAGAAATGCTCAACGTAAAGTTATGTTGGCTTTAATCACACAAATCAAAAACATTCAAACGCTCAAAAACAAAAGGCTAATCCGGTTTTTGAATTTTCCGAAGTGTGAATCCAACATTGAATAGAAAAACTCTGCGAAGGTTACCATGTATGTAGACATGTTTCCAAAGTAAGGAGAATTCAGACCAAAACAAAAACAAATGATTCTAGTCAAGCAATGAGATTATCAAAGGGAAGGGGCAAGACAGATTTCAGTAGCAAAATTTTGATTAGCGAGCAGCTTGTCCCTGTGTGTGTTCTAAGAGCTGAGTCACTAACTTGTAAGTCCGTCCTGATAAGGCTTTGGTGTGATTTATCAACTGCTCATGCCTGCATTAAGTGGGGAACGAGTTTAGACTGCCGAAGTCATAGACATAAAGGATTACAATAAGAATGATGATGATATTATAGATTTATGTATTCTGCTTACACGTTGGGCTGAGTAGGCTCCATGATTACAGTTCCTGACTCAGAATCAATCTTTGCATCAAGCTTTGAGGTGCGGATTAGGTTCACAATCCATTTCTCAGCCTCCTCATAGTTCAGATTCAATTTCTCAGCGAGCACCCTGACAAGGCCATGAGAATGTCGATATGAGTACAACGTTGAATAATTAGCACGATATGCACAAAACTTTGATGCATGGAGCAGGAAAAGAAAAAGTTTCAAAATTGAGTAATCCTATGAGTAGCGAGTTCGATATTGTTTTTCTTAAAAAAGATGTGGAACCGAAGTCATTAACCAAACATGATAACTTACCCCATGTCAATTCTCTGATGAATTCTGCAATAGGTTTCAAAGATAAACAAGCGGGCATTTTCAAGGAACTCATCTCTCAGTGGTACAGTTGAAAAGTTTCCATCCTCAACTCTCTTGCCAAGGAATGGATCATTCACAATGACCTACATCATATTAAAAAGTCAAAGAGTTTTGAATTGTACAGATCCGCACCATTTTCCACAGATATAATATACATGTGAGCTGCTTTACCTCTTCACACTCTTTCATCTTCTTTTGAGCTCCATCAAAGTCATAATTGACAAACACACAAGCCAGGAACTCGATAATAGGATCTTTGTAGGAGTAGTGCTCTTGCTGAATGACCTTAATGAATTCTTTCAACTGAGGCCTTCTCCTTTTGTTGACAATGAAAGCAGTAGCCAAATAACGCAGCAAGTGTGGAGCACTAGTTTGTATGGCATTCAGATACCTGAAGAAAGAAATAAAATCAGAATACCGTTCTGCAAAAAGCAGCGTGGCAAACAAAGTGAATTAATTTTCAGCAATTTCCCATACTAAAAGCACAATCCTAACAGAAGATCTGGATAAAAAGAATGAGAAGACTCTCCTACTAGTGACTGTTAATCACGTGTTAGCACAACAGGACTAACTGTGACTGAAAACATTGTTTCACACACAAACACTGCCTATGTATAACTCAACAAATTCAGATCATGCTTCTCTAACGAAAAAGGTATTGTTGCGTGTCATGTTCAGCTAAAAATTATTTAGATGCAAAAACAGGTGGAAGCATAGATACATTCAAATAATATACCAGGAAGAAAAAGGAGACCGGAATTTAAATAAAGATGTTACTTCTTTCAAACCGTATAAAGGAATAGAGAGGGATGCAGATGACAGACGGATTCAAACTTACTTGTCTTGGTTAAAGAGATCAATGATTTGTGTCCTTCCATTATCATGGTTAAAAAAGATATAGAGACCCCAATGCATCAACCAAATCCTGTTCTGCACCTGGTTTAACGGCGATGCAAAACTCTGAAAAAAAACCAAATGCTAATTAGTATATACTCACATCTATGGGAATCTCAAAGGATACAAGCTAGAAGAAATTTCAAAAGCAGACCTTTGAGTCAATGATTTCTTTGAGACGGTTAAGCTCTTCGAGAGCAATGTCCCAGTTCTGCATCAATATTTCAGATGCAAGCTTTCCCCACAAGGCACTCAGACTTCTCTCAAGGTTAGAGCAAAGGGTCCTGTACTGGTAAAGATAATCAGCAGCACCAGTATAGTTCCCACATTCAAACTGAAACTTGGCGTACTGATACAAAGCCTCAATCTGGTCTGGACCAATCTGATAAAACATGACACATAATAAGATTCGCATTCCTCGATGCCAAATGCAAAAGAAACAGAAACAAAAGACGCATAAATCTTGAAATCATTCTACGAAATCAGCCAAAATCGCAACCTGGTAGCGTTCCTTGAGCATCTGGAGATTGTATTGCTTGTCAGCTCTTAGCTCCTGTACTGCGTTAGGGTTCAAAAGGAAAGTCACCAATGGTGCAGCCGCCTCCTCCAGAGATTTGAGCCTTGCCACTACCTCTGCTCTTCTCTCCACCATATCTATCACCAGAATTGCCCAAAATTCAATCATCACACAAACCAAACATATAAAAAACGCTAATTTACAGACATTTCCAGAGAGAGAAAGAGGAATACACAAAAGATACCTTGAGGAGCGTCTTCAGTGTGGTAGAGACTCTTGTGAATATCCATGGCGTAATCAACCATGTTCGTCTTGTTCAAAAGCTCGATCTTAAACTTCAAGATCTGCTCATCAGGGTAAAGCTGACGCTCTTGAAGAAACTCCAGTATTGGAAACACCAAGTGTCTATCCAGATTAGGAGCTACTCGAGGAGTCAGGTCATAGTTCTCTTTGATTTCCGCCATCGTCGGAAA